ATAGATAGATAGATAGATAGATAGATAGATAGATAGATAGATAGATAGATAGATAGATAGATAGATAGATAGATAGATAGATAGATAGATAGATAGATAGATAGATAGATAGATAGATAGATAGATATGTGTGTGTGTGTGTGTGTGCTTTTGCATATGCACCGTTCGAGTTGCTGCCTTAAAAGAATTCTGTGATTTTGTTTTAGTATAGTATCAGAAGGTACGAAGCTACAGCCAAAACCAGATGGCTAAAAAATAATGCCAGCCAAAGAAAGAAATCTAAAAATATATCGAGGCCTGAAACCTTCATTCTCCCATTAGACAAATGTCACGTATTGCTACAAGCTTGAAGACTCATCTGCAGAGCTGCGGTTCTATTTTGTACGTAATCAACAGCATAATTTCAAGCAAATGTTCTGCAAATTGAATATCAGACTGCAACATGTGTTGAAGTGTACATATATTTGAAAGACCCTAATAACAAATTATACAGGAAAGAGAAATATATTTTTGATTGCAGGTGATTTTTATATTACAACCATCATGGGAAGATGTTCAAAAGTGCATTTAATATGTGAATGACACATTTCCTGACTAGATAAATGACAATGAACACGGTGCCGGGACAATTGTTTTGATGTTGGGCGGGGGGAGCAGAATTTGAAGGACCGAAGGCTCTCGAGCAAAAGTTGGGGAGGTTTTTGGGGCGGGGGCTCGGTTAGTTCATCCCCAGAACACTTTTGATAAATTCAAAATGTACGGGTGCGTACCTGAATTTATCTTTGGATCATTTAGTCAGAGAAAATCAGAAGAGAGGGTAACTGATTATTGGCTTCACTTGACCTGGATGTCTTTATAAAAACTTCTTTATTTTTTACTTTTGTGATTTCACTGTTGTTGTGGTGTTAAGTTGCGTCCCTTTGTGTCAATGCGTGAGGGCTGTGATTTCGTGAGTGGGGAAGTCGCGTGAAATTGCTTGTAATAAATTATTTAAAGTTATTGACACGCAGCTGAACAGACGTGTTTGCGTTCATTGAGTGTTAGCCATAATACTACTAATATAACAGTTACTACAATGTAATGTTGTTTGATAAGTTTTATTGAAACTATGTATTTATTGTTAAACAGCTTCATTAATACATGATTAAAAAAAACCAGTAAAAATAATATCATTCTGAAACAATAAAAAAAAAGAGCCTTTCAAATGCAGCTCTTGAATGATTACCACGCTAGTTTTTGTCGGCATTTTTGTTTAACTTTGTTACTTTTTCTCACCGCGTTTTTCTTATTATACATATGAAACATGAAATTAACAGTGATGTTGACTGTTTTCAGGCGAGATCAAACCTGCGAGACCTCCTTGTGCGAAATCGCAACCAAGCTGCCCCCGCCCAGTTTAGGTACCAATTCATGTAAACGCAGCCGTTGCAAAACATGGCTTTTTGTCATACAGTCTCAACACATCCCTTCCGTAAGGACAGTTTACAGATAGAGAACTTTTTTTTTTGCACTAGCCACAATACAGTCTACGCCATTGTTTGCAACCGCTGCCAGATAGCGTATGTAGGCGAAACTGGACGCCGCCTCTCTGACACATATCCTGAACACCTTGGTACATTGCGCAAGATAAGCAATGTCACATATCAAAACACTTCAATAGATGCGACCACAGGGTCTCAGGGGACTTTGCTGTCATAACCATTGTGTCTTGTAAAAACACACCAAACTGGGTGAGCTTGGAAATAACTGATTTAGGCCTATGGAGTCTTGACACCACATAGCATGAAGGTCATGTTCTCATTCACTTTTTAAACCAATCGCAGTAGATGTACTTTTCTTCTCTTCCATCCCATTCTTGCCTATATTAAATCTGTCACCTACTTATGGTCTACTTACAATCTCCGTGCTCTCCTCTCGAATACTTCATTACAGCTAAGTGTTTATATTCATTTATATTGTGTGCACTTTTGTTTGTTCGCTGAATAAGGCCTCTTGCCGGACTCATTCATTGTTTTATTGCATCTTTTTTTCAGGCTTTCCCAAACCTTGTTTGGCTCATTTTCTATTACTTTTTGTCACCAAATTTCTGAGAAAAAAAAAAAAGTATTTTTATAATTTTGCCTTTATTTAATAGCGTATGCTTCCCATTTCTGTAAATGTAAGCGTAAGTAATAATTAATGGAAACATAAAATTATGCGTGTCTGAATTCTGAAAGACAATGCCAATTTTATAAATTAACTTGATGTATTTTAGAATAAATTTTAATCAGTTTTTTTTTTTTTTAAACAATTTTTAGTTAGAAAGCGTGACGCACTTTAAAAATGGGATAGGTCTAGGATTTATGACCTGTGGGTTGGAGGGTGTTAAAATGTATTAAAACTAGCGTGACGTTCTTTATGGATGGTCCCTTACCTTAATTTTCATTGTCTTGACCCAAAATTCTGCCTCAAATGTACATTTAAAAAGCGCCCCCCCCCCCCATTTTTACACTAGTAGATATCGGCATAATATTTTTTTTTCCTGGCATTCGTCCGTCACAATGTGGCGATGGTGTAGACTTCGCAGGTCGAAATCACAAGACATTGACCCAAAATTTTGCCTCAAATGTAAATTTAAAAAGCGCCCCCCCCCCCCCATTTTTACACTAGTAGATATCGGCATAATATTTTTTTTTCCTGGCATTCGTCCGTCACAATGTGGCGATGGTGTAGACTTCGCAGGTCGAAATCACAAGACCTAATATTTTTTGTTTAGGAAGATAAGCTGGTTCCCTGAAAAGCAAAACGTCTCCCTCCACGCACCTGCGTAGCCCAAGGGAACATCATATGTGGCTGATACAGCTTGGCACCAGTAACGTCACATGAGTTGCAGGAATTGTCAATGTTATCCACCAACGGGACTCCATATCCAGATTTGAATCCAGAGTTTTCCCCTTTTTTTAGATGAGGGGGCGATCCATAAATGACGTCACGCTTAGAACATACAAAAAAGGTGGTGGGTCACATTTTTGTGAAGATGCATGACGAGGGGAAGGGGGGGATAAGCAATGTGACGTCACATTAAAAGCGGAACGTATTGAAAAACATCGTACTTAATAATATAAATTACAGACATTTTTAACATTATTCTTCTTTACAAGAATCATAATTATTTTATTCTTTAACTATGATCACTCATCAGTAGGCCTACGGGTATGGGATGTCCGAAAAATGGCCTCTGATCACGTTACAGTAAGCTTGAGTAGGAGAATTTGGGTGTTGGGATATTGACTGTCATGAAAATTTATGTCGAAATGTGGAGATTGACATAGAATTAGGGCCAATACGTAAGTGTGAAGGAATGAAAAATGATTGGCGGTTTGGGGGTGATCTTAGTAAATGCTCTAGGGCAGCATTACATCCTCTCTCAATTTCACCCCCCCCCCACACACACAAATTATATTTTAATTTTAAAAGTGTATTAAAGAGTGCGCGCGCGCGCGCGCGTGTGTGTGTGTGTGTGGGGGGGGGGTAGCTATTGCAGTTTTTTTTCTCCAATCATTAAAAAAAAAAAAAAATTATATTTTAATTTTAAAAGTGTATTAAAGAGTGCGCGCGCGCGCGCGCGTGTGTGTGTGTGTGTGTGGGGGGGGGGTAGCTATTGCAGTTTTATTTCTCCAATCATTAAAAAAAAAAAAAAGTACAAGTAATGCGCAAACAAAATTCACCAGAAAAACCTGTAGACTACTGCTACTAATCAAAATGCATAAAAATTCACGGCCCTCTGTAGACTGTAGGTGTGTCTCAGTTAATCCTTTGTTATAACTTATAATGTTAAGAATACTGATTTTTTAAAAATTAAGTTTATAGCTCTATTTATTAGTAGGCCATACCCATAGTCTTAAGATTAAGAGGGAATATAAAACTTATCTTTGAAAAAAACAATAAAATATGCAAGGATTGATATGTTTATGGCGTCACACAACAATTTCGTTTTAAAGATGGCTTTGAAACGAAATTTAAAGGAGAAAACATTTAATTTTTCGGCCTCACTGCCACGAAAATAACGAATCAAATTCTGACACCGGCTATTCTTCTTCGGCAGAGATAGTTTTGGCAGTTTGTTGACAATGTCAGTGTCTAATTTTAGCTGTAACTCAGGTATTTAGTCGAGCTCATTTTAAAAATAAATATTATTTATTTTAAAAATATCACATATCTGCGAAGTACATAAACGCAATATTCGGTATATATTTCGCTCTCTTGCATTGACCTGCCTCAGTCCCCCCGTTAGCCGTTCAATTTCAATAGTCAATTAGTTGTTATTTATTGTCAATTGAATTGTTAGTGTAGTTAAGTTTAAGTGAAAGTGTAGTGTAGTGTTCAAGATTCTGATTTTAAAATTACAAATTGAATTTTGAATACATTGAAATTTTAATTTATTAGTACCCGTTTTTATTTTATATGATCTACAATATGAAACTTGGCTAATGAAAAGAGATGTCGCCATGTCAACATGTCAACATGATGCATATAAATTATAAAGGATATAAATAATAATAATATAATTATATAACTATACTATAACCAATTTATCTAAAAAACAACCGGCTACCAAACAAAGGGCTACCAAACATTGTAGATGCAAAAAAAAACAACAAATTTTGAACTTACCGCGGACACTGGAGCACAATAAGACGACAGTGACGTAATATTTAAGCACACCTTTCTATATCCGCATAATTTTAAAGTACCCTATACGAAAATTAATTTCTCTATTTTTCATTAATATTTCTAACATTCTGACATTTCCACACTCTCTGCATGAATTTTAAAAACATAAAATTTCAGTTTTAAAATCATAAAATTTAAATTTTCTTTTAATCTTGTTAATTATTCACATGAAATCTTGTTCCAACCGGTTATTAAAATATTTCTTCGCCGCCACCTCTTTCGACACTTCATCCAATAAAATTTTTAAAAAAATTAACAAAGGGGAATGACTCCTGCACAAATATTAAATAAACACGCAAATAACGTCATGGGTAATAGTTCCAACATCAGCCTTTAATTTATATGGAAAAAACTTTGTTTTTAGGAGTTGTTTAATAACTTTGACTTTAATTGAATTGAGATATGCAGATTGACTGAGATTGGAACTTGATAGCACGAAACCATGGCCAAGGCTCAAGTGCTTGTTCACCTCGATAGTTGAGTTTTTGTTTTTAAAGAACCAGTCAAAAGAAACAAAATTTTCAAATTCCGCCCTTTGATGACTATCCCCTAGTTGACAGCTTGTTTTTTTTTCTACTTTGTTTCTTTTTTCGAACTTATATTTATATGTTTCAATTAAACTGGGTCAGAATAAAAGACTTAATTTTAAACCCTATATACTCGCATATAAGCCTACATCGCATATAAGCTGACCCCCTAAAACTGCTTTAAAATGGCAAGTTTTTCAAAAACCCGCATATAAGCCTACCATACAATTGTCTAATTTTACTCCATAATTTTGGTTCATAGAAATTTGTTACTGTAAAGATGTAAAATGCTTACTTTTATGTTACATACCAGTTTGTTTACCTTTTGGAATGACACAAAAACATTTTCTGCTCTTTCCACATCATACTCAGTATAATTATCAGCTATGCTTACATTAAATTCTTTGAAGTGACACCTCTGTGTATATATATGTGAATATATACGGTACATAGTATATAATTTAAACAATTCAAGTTCCAAAATCTCATAATAATGAGTAGTAATTGATATAAAAAATAAAACTATGCCTGGCGTCTATTGTGCAGAAAATTCACCCACCCCTATTCAGAGTAATAGAGGCTGCCAGGAACAGACACGCACCACCTTTCCTACGGCACTGACTTTATGTCATAAGATCATAAGACATGAACCTATTTTATAGACTTAGTTTATTGTACGTCATTCTCCTCCAAGTTGAATTTCTCCTGATAATGATATAAGACCTGTGTGAAGGATAATTAAATTTTAAATCAAACAAGGAGAAATGACAAATGCTGAAATTTCCCATTTTGTTAGCTTCAAAAGTTTCCTATTTTTTACACACTTGCGAAAGTTTTTACTGAAATTTTCCGAAAGGTTATTTTAGGTCAATTTTGTACAGTTTGTCAGTAAATTTATGGACGGTTGTTAACCCTGCCCCCTTCAGACTTCTACTGTTTTCCTTGTTTTTCTTTTACTCCTAATGATTTTCAAATTTAAAAAAATAGATATATATTTGCTTCCAAAAAAAGATTAATTAATTGATTAGGCCTTACCTGCAAATTCAAAATAAGACTGTTTAATTTATTCTTCATTACTGACAGTGCATCTTAGAGTTATACTTTTTTAATGCATATTTTTTTGGTCTAAAATAATATTTTTATCTCAAGAGTTTGAGATTGTTATTTAAAAAAAGAGATTTTGCATCTACAAAACAGATCAAACTAAGAAATTCCCAAAATGAACAAAGGATGGCAATGATACTAGCATGGCAACAGCTGCAAGCACATCAGTTCTATCAAAGGTCCTTGTCAATGAACCAGAACAACTTTCTATTGTTGTCAGATTCAGTGGAAATAAGATTTACAATGTAAATATCAGTAGCAAAGACACAATCAGTGACCTGAAGAAGGCTGTGGCACATATAGCTAATGTCTCTCCAAGGACACTGAATCTCGTTTTAACTGGGCAGCTGCTCAATGATTCCACACTGTTACAGGTAATTCAACAGTTTATCTTATTACCTTCATTTTAGACAGTTAAATTTTTCTTCTAGTTCTTCTCACCTGCATGGGTGGGTTGTTGAAATGGCTCAATCCAGCTTTATTTCAATTTATACATTCATAATAATTAAAAATACTTCATTTAGTAAATTTCAACAAGCACATCATCAAGTAGTTTTAAATATAAGTAGATCAAGCCATCATTTAGAGCACGGGGTCCTCAAAATTCTTAAAAAGGGGTCCAGTTCACTGTACCTCAGACCTCGTTGGGACCGTACTATAGTTTAAAAAAAAAATATTAATGCATTCCTATGCAAACTGAGCAGATCTTATTTGCCAACAAATAAAACATTAAAAAAATCATTACAATATTTAGAATGAATGAAAATTTTAATCAACCTAACCTCATCAGTGTATCAAATGGGACGTATGAGGTGGTCTATGTCCAGTTCCAGTTCTAGTCATAATAAGTGATGCCTATGTGCATCTGTTGGTCTGGATCTGGTTAGAGATTTCAGATGTTTCACTGTCTTTCTGGAAATACTCTGTTCACAGAAAGAGGCTGCCAAAAAAAGGTGGCCATTTTTAGTGCATGATTCCTGAGATTAAGATATGTCTCCTAGGGAAGAGATGTATAGAAATTAGTAAAGCTGCTTGACTTGAATATATTATCCTTGACTTGAATGCATCCACCAGAGAGTCACCATTCTGTAGTTCATCCAGTTCAATTTTTACTAAATTTGTAAATTTCAGTTTCAACATAAAAATGGTTAGGAATCGGCTGCATGTCCTGTTCATGGAGATGTAGCTTTCTAACTCTAATTTAAAACTAATTAATTTTGTTTTGGAATGCAGCTGCTGTTGATTTTTTTGCGGTAACAAGTTTTGAATTATGGAGATTTTCCTCCTTCGCTTGGTTAATGAGATTTAATTTTACTAAAAATGCTTTCACATGTAAATTCATATTATAGATGAGCATCCCATTTCCTTGAAGTTGAGCATTGCAACATTGAGTAGCTCTGTTATATCTCTCAGAAAGGCAAGGGGACATTTCCATTCTGGAAATATAATTTAATAATTGGGGGGGGGGGGGGAGGAGGAAAACATTGCCTCTGGCCACTTTCTTGGCAATTTCATGTTACACAAAAAGGGTTTGATATCACTTAAATTGAAGCACTTTCTTAAAAAGCCAAAATCCGTTTTATAGATTTAAATAAGTTGACAGGAAAACAATTAATAATAAGTAGTAAAATATTTACACCTGAAAATGGTGGGCTATGATGACAACATGGACAATTTTATCTCCGTTCTCTAACTTCTAAGCAGGAGTTGTATTATTTTGTTTTTTTTAAGTCATCCTTGAGCCGTTGCCTTAACAAATATGAATGCTTGTATATGCTTCTTCTCCTCATAATACTAGTCACATTGCAAAAGAGAGAAAAAATGTTCTCATTTGATTATTGAAATCTTGCTATTAATCTCATTACATATGTTTTAAATCAATTTAGGACTGTGGATTAGGCATCCACACCACTCTTCATGCATTCTGCTGGTCAGATAACTTGGTGCACGAGTCCCCAGACATTCCTGCTCAGAAACCACAGCTCTTTCAGGAAACAGACCACAAAGCACCTCATGGTTACAACAGCAGGGATGAGTCACAAGGAAACCAGATTACAAGGGATTGTCTTAGAGCAGCTGAAGAAACTTCCACTCCAGCTGGTGAATCTGATGTGGATGGGAATGATTTTATATGGCTTCGGACACAAAGAGAAATATCATCTAGAACAAGACCCCCATCTTGTTACAGAAATCTTAACACAAATGGTAAACATAATATTAATAAGCTTTTGCAAACCTGCCATGAAAAAAGACAATTTTTCTTAATTAAAATATATACATTTTTTATGCTATAGGGGCCTAATTAATTTTTATAAAATTATTTTTTCACAACATTGTCACAAGTTGTTCTTCTCAGCTTTATATCAGTTCCGTGCCCTTGGCTTTTTTCACATTTCCCCATCAGTATTGCCATCATACATAATGTTCCATAAAGTCTGCTTGTGATCATAGATTATTGTGTGTGGTATTAATTTACACTTCACGAACAAACGATTAGATCTATATTTTTTTAATATACATTCTTATATATATATATATATGTGTGTGTGTGTATAAAATAAATATTGGCCTGATACCTCTCTGACGTTAGTATTAGTTTTATAATACATAACTTATTGACATTTTACAAAATTTAGCCTTTCATAACAATAACCTTTTTAACTTAAAATTTTAGTTTGTTTTACTTTTATGTCGTTAAAATTTTAGCATTTCTGTTTTTAAAGTTTCATTTATCCTTTACTATATTTTAGACATCAGCCGTTTCTTTGTTTACTGCAAAATATGTGACTGTGTTCAGCCTGCCAAACTGCGGCTCAGCTGCAAAGACTGTGGCAGTGGAGCATTCCTTGTTGACAGAGTAAGGTTTTTAGGAAGGGTCCTTCACCTGGATTACACAGATAAAATTTGAGTCCTAAATAGTCTTAAGGAATCTATTAATGTTTAATAATGTTCACAATCCTCAAACTAAATTGAAAATTCAGGAATTCAAAGGTTTCTCCTGACTACCCACAGGGCTATAAAAAAAAATGTGTGCATATTATTTAAGGTAGCATCTAAATATAAATGGATGCAGGGCACAATATTAATAAATTTTGCTTTGTCCGCACTAAGCTCTTTAAATAAATATTTTTGTTCTAGTTATTGTGATGCGATGGAACAATTTCACAGAAGTTACTTTTGCAAATGATCACAATATAATTAATTTTTAATAAAAGAAATTATTACCTAAAATATAAAATAGAATGATAGATTCCTGACAAATATTTTTATTATGATATGTTTATTTCCTGATCTATAATCATTGACAGGGTCCTTCCAACTGGAGAGATATATCGGCCAACACAGAGATCATAGGTACTTGTAAGTCGGGCAGCTGTTCAGGTACTGTACCGGTGAGTGATCCTCTGATGTTCTCGTCTTAATTATTTTTAATAGATTTGTATAATCCTATTAAGCGAATTGGGGTGATTATTTATTGCCCAATATATGTATATACTAGAAGATATGACCCGGTGTTACTGGGATTATAATGGAAGGCATATTGCGTTACTTTCTACCTGCTGTTATTAAGTCTCAACATCTAAAAATCCATTTTTTCATGTAAGTAACTGCATCTGGTTTTGAGTTTGAAATATTGTGTCCTAAAAAAAAAAAAAAAAAAAAAAATTACAGCCATTTTCCAAACCATTGAAATGTAAATTTAGGAAAAAGTAAATAAGTAAATCAGACTTTCCTTGTTTTTATAGAAGTATCTATGTTTAGATGTTTACGTTTCTGACATCACTTGATTTTGAGAAATGTTATCTTCTCTATAATATTGCCTGTCACGGTCAAATCACATGATTTTTTCTGTGTCTGTTTTGATGATGTTAAGTGAGCGATCATGTTTTTTTATTCCCCGTATACCCCATGACCGTGGTGGTGTGTCGGTGAGAAACCATGTGAGGATAGGAGTGCGGGGAATGATAGTAGTGTTAAGTGGACAGGGACGAGCGCAGTTGATAGTTGTGTTGCGAGAGCGTGACATTGCTGTGGATGGAAGAGGATTTAATACATTTTCGCAAGGAGTTGTAGAACTATATTTTGTTATAGTATGTGTAGGATTTCTGGACACGTCTATTTTATTCTGAACACCAGAGATTATTTCTTATGCCTTTTTCACTGTCAAGCTTATGGAGCTAATAAATAATAAGAAACCTGAAGCTTTGCATCGTTTGTTTTGATACTTGAAACATTCAACACATCAGCTCTGTGGGGGCTAGAATGTCATTCAGCACATCAGCTCTGTAGGGGCTAGAAAGAAAGGTGTTCCAGACACAAATTTTTATGTGGTTATTACGCACACCCGCACTTTTCCATGAACTGTATTTTGCGCAAATTGGGAAAACTAATATTTTCTTATTTTAAAGAAAAATCTTAACCCATTGTTGACGTCCCTGAAATGTATTTTTAGGAAATGAAAAAAATTTCCTTGCACATCTTGGGAAAATCTCTATATCCTTTTTTTTAAAGAAAATCTTTTACAGTTTTTCCCTTTTCCAAATTCAATGAGTATAACAAATATTTATTTATTTTAAAATATAAAACTTCTTTTTCTTTAGTGTAATATATCAGATATAATTATCCAAATACAAATGTACACACCATCTTTCCTATCAGTATATTTAAGGAATAGGGTTATTATTTTTAAAGTAAAATACATTCCAAAGATAAAATTTGTAACATAATCCTAGCCCTTGAAATGTAAAAACATAAAATGATAAAATACAAATTTCAAAATTTTTTAAAACAATTTTGAAAAATATTATTGGATCCACATTTTCTTATTTTAGTTATTTTTTAACGTTAAGTTACAATTTTTTACTTTATACATTTATTAAATTGCAAATTTTTTTGAGTGAAGAAAGTACAACTTATTTCATGTTAATGATACATATCTTAAATTTTGTGTCAAGTGTGCAAAGAATAACTAGCTATTATAATTAAGTTCTTAAAAGATTATTCTTAATTTTGGTTCAATGTGTTCAAACTAAAATTTGAATTTGATATTGTTTGAAGTAATTTGAGCCATTATCATAAATTTTAATCTAATTTCACAATTTTGAAAGACAGATTTTCCGGTTTCCCGATTAATTTGCTTACTAATTAATAATAGTGTTAAAAAGATGATCATTGATTTGTTTATGAAAAAGAATTTCAATCTTCTTTTATACAATATCTCAACTCTCAAATTCAAATAAAGTACTTAAAATAATTCTTTTGTTATTATATTAAATTTATTTCTTATTTATTATAATAAAAAGGGATTTGATTTCCATAACATAAAAAGTGTTTTTAAGAATCCCAATTAGATTTAGGATTTTTATCTTGAACACAAATTTGCACGTTTTTGGGTGTAATAATGGGGAAATTTGATAATGTTCCCTATTTAACTCAATGTTACATGGGGACATTAGCTTATTCTAATAGATATTCACATATTTTATCTTAGAGGTTTTACCTGCGATGCAATGAAAAGCATGATGGGGAGGTTGAAGGAACAGCTGCATTACTCAAACATGTTCAGGCTAATCACAAGAGAGTGGAGTGTATTATTTGCAGTGATGTCATGTGAGCAGTTACACTAGAGATTTCTTATGAAAATTTTCATTTAACTTTTAATTTAACAATATAAAACGTTAAATGAAAAAACACATGTATAGGAAGAAATAAATTGAAAATACTAGAGTACATGTATAATTTATACAACAGTAATCATTATTAATAACATGAATGAAGTGAATAATTTGAGTTGCTATTAATTCTCCCCAACTCTCCAGGTCCCATGTTCTAATCTTCCCATGTTCACCTGGGCACGTCATATGTTTGGAATGTTTTAACCAGTATGGCACAACCTGTCTTAATGAAAGACGTTTTGTGGAACACCCTGTGCATGGCTACACCTTACCCTGTCCTGGTGAGCAATCAGCGTGGTGAATAATTTGTTGCTACTGTAATTTAAATCAGCTTTTGTTTGGTGTAAACTACAGAAAACACTTTTGTTTTCTTAGATTGCTACGTATTTTCAAAAAAGAATATTGACCGACAGACTTTTCAAACTTTCAGCTGAATATAACATAGTTTAAAATGTAACCGTAGTAAATATATTCATGTCAGATTGTAAAGAAACCTGCACCAAGAAATCCTGATTAGCAAAACAAAAAGAACCCAAAAATTACAAGAATGCCATTCCCATTTATTCCTGCAAGACTGGAGTCCTGGTTATATTCAATGCTTGTTGGAAAAATCCAAAAGGCTTGCAGTACACTTTCAAAACTCTGAGAAAAACATGTAGGTTGGCAACTGAAATGCCCATGCAATGAAGAAATGTGTAAATAGCCAACCAGTAGATTCTGAACTCTGAAAGTGATGCAGAACTCCAAAGGTAAAAGAATAAAGGGAGATAATGGAACACTTGGAGATGATAAAAACAGGAAATTAATGGAGAATGCAGACTGATTCTGAGATCAGTGAGGTTACTGTTTGTTGATATAGTTGGTGTAGTTTTGCTCACCTAGTTGCTTGTGTTGCTACTGGCCTCCTTTCATAATATTGTTATACAGTCATTGAAGTCAGATGCCAGTACCAGGTACAGCAAGTCCTTGGGGATTCAACCTATCTATTATCTTGACATCGCCTAGCCAGTGATTGAGCCTCTGACTTAGAGTGAAAATCATGCTGCTCATTTCAGAACACTCAATAATCTCAGTGTTGGAGTAATCTCAGTGTTGGTTAACTTCTCCTTCCATCAAATGCTCATTATAATTGCTGTAGACTTTTTAGGTGGAAGCTGTTGATTTTTTGCTAGTTGTTGGTGTATGTGGTCCAACTGCTGTTGAGATGTATAATTAGCATACATGTCTGTTTGACATGCAGTTTTTGCCCTCAGCTTTGGTCAAGTATTGTTCCATGCCAGTATTGCCAGTTTGTTTAATTTGACTATAGATGCTGCAGCCGTTCACTTATTCATTTATTGAGAGGGAGTTGGAGATTTTAGATCCAATACATGTGCAGTTGTTTACAGTATTTATATATTTTTGTACTTTCACTTCCGAAAGTTTTCAGCTGCAAACTCTAACATATAAATAAAATAATTTCCTCAGCTGGATGTCTTGACTCCCACATAGAGGAAACCCACCATTTCTTATTACTGGGACAAGAAAAGGTGGGTTGGATTTGGCACATATTAAGCTATTAAAAGAAAAGAAAGAGATGCATGTAATACACTTGAGTCTTTTATTTCATATTTAAATTGTTGATATATTTATGTTTAAATAGGTCACCCTGTTGGTAAATGACCATGAACTTTGTCACAGGTTTCTCTTTACCTTTGTAACTTATCAATTATATGGATGTAAAGTAAAGATAACGCAGAATGTAAACATTGTTTTGCACTTGCCACTTTAAACTTTTCCAGGATTGGTAGTGCATCAATTAAATGTGTCTCTGACTTAAACATATATATTTGAAAGCTGTGGCATTTTTATTTCTTTTGGTTTTTTGAATTACTTAAACGGCTACTCTTGGTCAAAGCGAAGAGATATTTTTAATATTCAAGGCTTGGCCGATATTGAGAATAAAAAAATACTGTTTTGAATTCTGTAGACGGTGGTTCCCAAAGTGTATGCCAAAGCTCTCTTTGTAGAGACGCCATGATATATTACACAATTTCCATAACTTTATTTCTTTTATTCTTAATATTTCGCCACTCCTAGTGAACCTGGTGTTTGAAAAAAATTTTTTTTGCTGAAAATGTAAAAAAAGTCTTCACAGAAGAATAAAAACATTTTTCTAAATTGCATTGGACTGCAAACAAAAGACTTCAACAATGTTTCATTTGAAGGGATACAATTTGTGTTATATAGTCCCAGGTACAGATTGATCGCTTCTTATTTAGAAATGTCTTTTGAGTATAAACTTTGATTAATGCCTAAATAAACTCTATTGTTCACTATGAACATTTATTAATGCTTCTTAACTAAACTCTATTGATCAGAAGGAATGTTTATTAATTCCTAACTTACCTCTTTAATTCAGTGTGAAATATTACTAATGCCTAACTAAACTCTTTTGTTCAGTATGAGCGCTACAAAAATTTTGGTGCAGAGGAGTATGTTCTTCAAAATGGAGGTATGCTATGTCCAGGTCCAGGGTGCGGAATGGGTTTGTTTCCTTCAGGAGAGGGACGGCTCGTCAAATGTCGGGAGTGCCGGGTATGTTCAGTTATATTGGGTGCCAAAAATAAAATGGTTTCAGTTTCAATGTTAAAAAATACAATAATTAATAAACTTCATGTAACAGCTTTCTAGTTTTAGTTTTACGCAAGGTTAACTCAACATTTCTATGAACTGTTATGAATTTTTTTGGTATCTGCTTTGTTATTTATAATGTATAATATGATACAGCAATGCAGCAAATTTGTAAACACTTAAATGTTAACAACTAAAATCAAAATGAAGGTTACATTTTATCATACTGTTTATCATGCATTAAAACTTATCATTATGGACTCCATTTAAATTGATCCTTTAAGTAAAAATAAATGGGCTAAATTTAGTTAAAAATCCAGTTGAACTGAACATAGTTAAAATTAATTTATTCTCATTAAAAACAAGCTTGTAAACTGTTTCTTACAGCATGAATTTTGTAAAGACTGTAGAAGAGAATTTCATTTGGGAGGCTGTGAGAATTTCCTGGAATCATTAAGCCTTGCAGTGTCTGTAAGTCTGATGTTCTTAAACTTTAATATTAAACTCCTGCAGTTTGGTTTATCTCCCTTACACCATTTACTGTGTAATATCAATTTTATTAATGAGCATCTCAATTTTATTTGCATAAATGCCACTGTACAAAAAGTTAAAAAAACAAACTGTACATAACATCATTTAAAAAAATGAAAATTCGAAAAAAATATACTTTATAACTTTTTTTATCATTTAATTATCAATTAAACACGTAATTTTCATGAATTATCTCCCTAGGGGGATTTTTTTTTTGTTTTTTTTTTGGACCACGTAATTATTTTCTCGGATTACAATAAAGGGAACAAATTTTTATTAAATTCAAAATAATTATACCGTGACGATAACTAAAAGTAAAAGATAGTATCTGATAACTAGTTACTAGAGTTAGTGATAGGCTATTTGTGATAAGTTACATACTTTTAAAATACTTAATGGTCATTTTGGTAGCTTGAACAAGTTTTTTTAACAGTTTCCATTAATCCTGAATCAAAGCACTGATTGTAATGCCAAGTATAGAATCCAAATATGTATCAGTGAGCTGAGTCCTGTACTTGGATTCAGTGATGTTCATGCTTGCTCACAGATGTAAGTTGAGTCATATAGGAACAATAATTTTCAGGGGAATATGTTTTATGTTTAGAAACTTATCAGCTTTAAGTGATGCATAATTTAAAAAAAAAAAATTCATGTCTTTTAATCTCTCTTTGATAATTTTGTCAGTCTGCAAGTCTATGCATTCCAGCTGCAGACCAATAGTAGCTATGTTAATACCCCATGGCTCGGTGATAGAAACAAACAGAACATCATAAACAGTTTATTGTTCTTAAGATCTTACGGGCAGTAAACTAAACTGGCAAGTGTAGTGGCTTCTCAAATGGATGACCACGAGACCACTTAGCAAAAAATGTTTGTTCAGGTTTTAACTCACCCTCCAAGTCATCAGTTTTGTGCATTAATTTGTTCTCATTCAAATTAATTCTGAAATTGCCTAAATGCTTAGTCTGAAAATAGAGACTGAGGTAACATAATTTGAAAACGACCTAGACTCCCGACATATTACATTCAAAACATTGGTTTAAATTTAAGTCAAAATATACAGAGATGTTTAGTCTTTGTTGGAAGTCTGACTCTCATCTTCAATTTTTATTAATTTTTGTATTTTTATTTTGGAGCACATTTTCAACATTTTTACCTTAACATAATTAATAATATTTCGTAATATTAGGTAATTTAAACAACAAAAGAGTGAAACTTAAAAATTTTTCAGCATATGTCCAGACAAAGGGTCATCAATAATTCTAATACAGATAGTTATATCGCAGGGATGTACTGAGACACTGAGCTTGGACATAATGTGCTTGTAATTTTAGCAGCTTTATTCCAACACTTATGAAATCACTGGACAAGCTTGCTCTGTCAGATTTTTCAGAGAATTGAGGATCTAACTTAATATACATAATTAAACATGGGTTTCGATAATTCACTAAGAGTTCTGTTCGAAAATAAGCAGTGGAATCATTTAAACAAAAATTGTTGTTATTATTATTATTACAGTTAGAAAATTGTATTTTTAAAATATTATTATTACAGTTAGAAAATTGTACACTGTTGTTATTAATTTTCAAGGCATTTTTTAGATCATTTGAATCATTTGAAAACTAAAAAAATTTCTGGCAATACATTATTGTATTTCCCAGATGGTCTCGTGGGCCACATTAAACTTTTCATTGGGCTGCATGTGGCCTGCAAGCCACAGTTTTTCCATCCCTGACATAGATGATGAATTTGATAGAAATTTAGATGTAATCAGACATATTCTTCAGTTAACCATGCTAGGTGTAGTAATATAGACTCTTGAATTTAAATTAATGAAGTGCAATACATTTCGTCCATCTTAAAAAAAGTTATTAAGTCAATTTATAACCTTATTTTTCACTGTACAGGGGGCAAAATTCATGTGGATAGCTTATTTGTTTTTATTAGACCATAGTGCTATGTGGATATAAAGTTTTAATTGGAAGCAGTAATAAGAATTACACAAACTGATTTTTAATCATGGTTTAGGGCAGACTACTTGAACAACACTATAGTATTAATAATTGGTCTCAACAAAACCGTGCTCAGTTTCTAAATTTAGATGGCTTAGCAATCCCAGACATTTAGGCCAAACGTAATTCCGTACAGACCAAAAGCTTTTCAGCTTCCTGTCGACCAACATTGAATATATTTCACTGCTGGTTTTGATTTTCAAACGTGTGTTATCACTATCATGTGCTCTTGACTTAAAAACAGCTGAAAACATCTTATGAAATAATATGAAGCCCGTTGTTTGCATCTGCAGGATCTGAGAATCAATGATGAAAGAGCAGTCAGAGCAACATGGGAGCAAGAAGCACAAAGCTTGATAGATGAAACAACCAAGTCTTGTCCAGGGTGTCAAACCAAGACAGAAAGGAGTGGTCAGTGTCCTGTAAATACTCTGTTAAAACGTATTTCTCTACTCTCATGTAGCGACACTGGAATTCCATCAGTTAGTTAGCACTGGCATTTCAAGTTTATATATAACTTATTAAATGGAGGAGAAAAAAAAGAAAGATACAGAGTGATCATTTTTCTAAAAGAAGTGATTTAAATCTATAACATTTAAAAGCAATAGAAATTATAATAAAAACTTGGACATAAGTGAATTAGATCCACTTCTGTAATCTTTATATATATATATATCTTCATTAACTTCAGGTGGTTGCATGCACATGATCTGCAGCAGATGTCAAACTGAGTGGTGCTGGATTTGTGTAAAAAAATGGAATCGGGATTGTATGGCTGATCACTGGTTTGGAACTTAACTGAAGTCAAGACTTTAAAAGTCTATGAGATTGCTGTGTGATATTTAACAGGTCTGTTTACCCTACCCTTGTGTTGTCATCTTTACTAAACACTGGCTGACATAACAAAAGGTACAGTCATGGTCAGTGCTAGATCATTATTTTAAGTTCTTCTACTTGTCATATACTCAACTATATCAATCAGATAGTTGCATAAATTTGCTCTTCTTGCAATCAGAGTTAATTAGCAAGTCTCTTCACTAATTGGATGTGTGTATATGGTCAAAAGATTTTTTAAAATTTCTCTAGTGTCACTGATTTCTGTGTTCCTCATAAATGACTTAAGTTTTTTCATAAAATGAGTGCCAAGTAATGCATCCTTACATCTCTTAATTTAAAAGTGCCTTTAGTGACATGTCTTTCATGATATTAAATATGTGCATGACATTCTGGCAGAATGAGTATGATTTTGTCTCGCATAAGATATTGATACAGCATGAATGACATTAGTTGAAATGTCTTTAACATATTAATATTTGAGAATATGTTTGACATATAATTGTTTGAAATGCTTTGTCAAATAATTTAGAAGAATGTAACCAATAACATTTTTGAAATTTTTGGTGGTAAGAATGTAATTGATAACAGTATATTACATATTAATTAAGAGAATTTAACTGTTACAATATTAGAACATATCTAAATTGTTAACACCCTTCTGTATATTACAACTGACCTATGGATAACTGATCAATGTCATAAAAATATATCAATATATTGATTTTTTAATGGAATAAAATTTTTTGAATCTAGTCACATCTAGACTGATTCATTTTTAAAATTTTTATTAAGTATTCCCTTTTCTCACTTTGTTTCTTCAATTTTAGAAAAATGTTAACACAACTAAAAGTGTCTAATTACAAGCACTCAGAATATATAGAGGAAACACTTAGTTAATAAATGATATTGGGAGAACTTCATATGTACATTTAAAAACTGAGGGTGTCATAACACTGCTAAAACAATCCTTGACTAAGAGCAACAACTATGTGTCTTGATGTTATTCTGGGATCAACACACTGATAGACAGACATGAAAGCAACAACTATGTGTCTTGATGTTATACTGGGATCAACACACTGATAGACAGACATTGAAAGCAACAATTTTTAAAAATAATAATTTTTATCTTTTTTTTTTAAAATCATGAATGGTTCAATTTGGAAACAAAAATTAAATATCCATAAGCAATAAAAAACATCACCAGGTTAAAAAAAGTGAATATCTGCATTAAATGTGCAAAGTAATAAAAGAAAAATATTTGGTAAAACTTGCAATTATAATACACAATTATAATACACAGAAAAACAATTATGGACAGTTCTGTGTCACCGTAAAATGAATATAAAATGACTTGATAAGTCGAGACCAGAGTAAGCAGTACATTATAACAAAACAACAACAATTTTTTAATCAAACATAACATTAACTTTTTGGTACCATATAGTAGTGGTTTGATTTGATGATTGTATAATGTCATTAACATGGAACAAAAATTCTTGTGATATATATGGCAATCTAGATGACTCCTAATAATTCTGTTAATGGTAATGAGGGGGAGAGACTGCAATTGGGTACGGTAGAAGAAAATAAGTGAAACAAAGTATGGGCGAACCTGGCTATCAACGCCATTGTGTCTTGTACCAACATGCCCGCCAGGGTGAACTTATAGAACAAACTGATTGAGACTTATGTGAACTTGACGCCACAAGGTATAAATTCCATGTTCTCCTTCTCTTGTTGAATCTTTTCTCTGCCCCCTCCTTGTTACAACCACTCAACATGGACTTACTTCTCTTCAATTGCCTATATCAACTCTCTTACCAACTATGGTCTATTAAATTCCTTTTGCTTTTCTGCCGTATAATATATTGCAGCTGTTTGTTTTAATTTTTATATTGTTTTTACTTTTGTTTGTTGGCCGAAGAAGGTCCTTCTTGCAAAACACGTTTGTTGTTTTGTTGCATCCTTTTTTCATGTTTTTCCATACTTTGCTTCACTAATTTATTCTGATAAATAATTTATGCATGTTTTAAAAAAAATTTTAAATAACGTACTGAATTTTTAAAAAAATCACAGGTTCCCAACTTTTTTTGTGTCAAGACCCCATTTCACAGAAGCAAAGTAACCTCCGACCAACATACATTGAAAAAGAAGTTTTTGAACTGGGTAAAAAAGAAAGACATAAAAATTGTGTGTAAATTTCAATAAAATAGAATTCAATATAATTTTAACTTAAATTTTCATCTAATGCGATGCTTGAAATTGTTGCTCCTAGACAAGCTTCAAATACAGATGTTAAGTGTTCAGTCCATTCCACTGTAATCTCATGTCATTCTTAACATATAATTTTAATCTTTTTCTTCTTCTTTTTTTCAAATAAAGAAGCAATGAAACTCTTATGTATAGAGTATTATGATCTTATTCAAAGTTTAACAGATTAAGAGTGAAAAGTGCTTTAAAATCGTTTTTTTTATAAAATGTTTTTTAGTAACTGTTCTAGAAAATATGGTACTTCACATTAGGTCGCAACCCATGGATTGGGAACCCATAATTTAAATAGCATAATATGTTGAACAAAGCTATGATAATATTTATTGGATCAGAATGACTGTCCTATTCCACTGTATGAATAGATCATATAAGTATATAATTTTGTTTAGCTGACATGAGTAGATCCTAATCTGTTACATTCTTATATTTTGTTTAGCTGACATGAGTAGATCCTAATCTGTTACATTCCTATATTTTGTTTTGCTGACATCTTTTCAAAATTGCTTGAGGAAAGTTCACATTTCTCCTCCGTTTACAATCTAGGTCAAAAATGAAATCTTTCAAAGGCATGAGCTAAACAAAAAAACAACTATTCTTTGATGTTAAATAAATATCTTTCAACACTCTCTTGTTTTCATTTTATTTGCCCCACCTCATTTAAAATTCTCTTTCAATGGTTCTCACCTCATAATTTCTTATCACCCCAATCTTTCTTCTCAGTGCGACCAACTCCAGTGGCACCCTCCCCGCCCTCATCACTCATTTTGCGTGGTGGAAGCCGAAACCCCCCACCCCACCCCAGACTTTGGACTTGGTACATTTTGTACTGTGGTCATGACTTGAGAGTTCAGCGTGGCTCAGTGGTCACAACATGTGTTGTTCCATGTTAGAAGGTTGAGAGTTAATTCCCTGAACAAGCCTGGCAATTAATATAGACTTTTTTTAATTCCTCCAAACAAAAATTGTGACTCCCCCCCCCNGGTGGAAATGAAATTTTTTCCCCCCCCCCCCCCCGCACTGAGAGTGGAAGCAAGAGGGACGCCCCCCCTCCTCTTCTTTAGATGCCCCTGATCAACTCGATACATCTTTCGAACTTGTCCCACTTCTCTCCAGATTTTTTTTTTTATTGAAGTTGCAATCCTCAATCACTTTTTTTTTGTATTAAATTGTTTACTAACCTGCAGAGATTTAAGTTAGCGGTACTAAAAACAAGCAAATATCACAATTTATATGTTATCAATAGCTTGCCTGTTAACAAAGGGATTGTGTCAATCAGGGCCAGATTACCTGTTGGTATAAGGGGCCAACACTTACTCTATTTACACACTGATATCAATCTACAAAGCTTTGAGCCTCTGTATTGGTATGCCTAGGGTGCCTAATGTTGAGCATGCCAAAAGCCCTAAATTCACTGCATTCATAAATTGGTTGAATATCTCTTATAAGTAAAATAAGCAATCAATATTATTTCTGAGTAGTCTTTCTGGCCAGAATCTTGGATTTAAAAAAATTGAATACAAATTAATACATTGTTAAGGATATCACTTCTTCTTGTAGCGTTTCTAATTAGAGAATTAAATCAGCCAGAAATGTCCTATATTTATATTTCTGTCTTTAACATATTAAAAAATTAAGAGGTTGTAAAATAAAGAAATAATGTGAAGCTCTCTATATATTGAAAGTAAATAAATGAAAAAACAGGGAACACCTTTAACTAAGCAAATCAAATCGTTATGAAGTAAAATATATTAACTCCACAAGTCTACAGACTGTTGCTCAGATTAAAAAGTAGTTACTTCCCCTTTCCGTTGCCGTGGACAGTAATTGCTCTTGATTAAAAATGTTTGATTAAAATACCCAAGACGAGTATTTCCCGTACGTTACGCGTCACCTCAGTTCTGCTCCAGCGCTAATTTCCCGATTCGTTTCTGCACCCAATCTGGCATCCTGTTGGGACTGCTCCACGCAAACTTGGGGTTGAAGATGACACTGTAGAGCGCCGCCTGGGCGATGATGACAGCTATCAGGATGCTGGTCATGTCCATCTGCTCCCCCACCACGTAGATCATGGCCGCGTGGACTGCAATGTCAAAGAATGTTCCTAGTGCAGAATCAATCTGAGGTTGCTTTGGTTTCGAACTTTCGAACCAATCAAGGCTACTCCAATCGATGATCTGAAAACAAAGTGGGTGTTGTACTTCTTGAGATTTTGATATGTTAGTAAAAGTACCTCATAATATTATTAGGTTTTCATAAAGAACGCAACCATTAAAAAATTGAACGTAATATCCCCTTCCCCAAGCAAATAACAAACCCCTCACCCCCACCCGCTCCCCCACGAAAACTATAAAAACAAAAAGAATCAAACCCCACTAAAGCATATGGTCATCAACATTGACTTCCTGATCTGAGCGTCTAGGCACCACGTAGTTGTAAAACAAAACAGGTCACTGATGAAATGGCGTACCGGTAAGTATTTATTACACTGTCTCTTCACTTGCGCACAATGTAGGTGCTTTTTAAAAAAAAAAATCTCCCATTTTAAATGTAAATATAAAATCAAAGTTATTGATAAATGTAATAGGTCTTGTTATCTTATTGTCATGAATGCTGTTGGGTTGTATTTCCTAGTAAAAAGCCGAAACACACTACTCACTGCACCATGCAATGACTGAAATAACCAAATGATAATCACACGGTTAGGGAAACCGTGAATCTGACGGGATGGGGGGGTAGGGTGAAGGGGGTACATCAAAGAAAAATTGAATTGCTGCATGTTACATGGATGTACCGGGGCAGTGCAAACAATAATCAAATCTAGGTCCATCAGATAGAGTCTCACACAATAAATTAACAGGTCTCATGCGTACTGGGAGGTATAAAAACATAATACCATAGGATGACGATAACATGTTATTTTACTGTTTGGCCTGGTCAATACTTGTGTAGGCTAATGGCGCGTGGGTAACACATCCTTATAAGTGCGCGGGGCCCATAAGACCCGGGGAACAACTACATTGAACTATGTTTACCGAGTTTTATGTCTGCTAATGAGTGGGAGAGATGAGGAGGAGCCAGGGAGAACACGAGAAGGATATAGACGGGCTAGAAAGGTTGTGAGAGAGTGACTGAGAAATGGAAAGAGATAAGGACTAGGAAAGACAGAACGATGGAGAGAGAGAGACTTGAAATCGAGGGAGATAGATAGTGATAATGCCAACAGGTCCGTGTGTATGGGCGAGGGGGTTGACTCGCCCCAACATTTGGGGAGGGGGGGGGTTGAAAAATCTTCTTTAGATAAAAACTTGATAGTGAATTAACGTCACAACTTAACCCCACGTAGGCTTACGTCACAACTAAATCCCATGTAGGCCTACATCACAACTAAATCCCATGTAAGCTTACGGAAATTAGGTCGAAACTTTTTTTCAGTTCAAACTTTAAAATTTTCGTAAAATTTCCTTTGAACACACTATACTATATAGTAAAACAAAATAATGCGTTCAAAAGGAAATTTGACTCAAAACTTTAACGTAAAAACTGAAAAAGAGATTCGACCAAATTTCCGTTCAGTAAAATTACCGTCGATTAATTTACCATCGACGAAATTTCTTTCAGTCTAATTTCCGGATACGTAAGATTTTAAATAGCCTAATTCTTGAATAAATTTGGTTGAATATTTATTACGGTTTTCCGCTTTCAAAATTTTGCCATAGTTAATTAAAATGGTCTATAAAAAGTTTCATGTTATTTTGTGACGAGCTAGGCAGGGGCCTTAACTCCTAAGTCAACACTTTCAGCATATTTACCTTTTTAGCCATGTACGATTTATCCCATGTGATAAAATAAAAGAGGTGTTGTAAGATCTGTATCACCGCCAGCCACTTCAGTCTCCCCGTCAGGACGAATGAAGCGATGAAGACCGTCAATGCGTCAAACAAGAAGTACAGGCGGATTCGAACTAAATCTTTCCGTGGCAGGGCTCGGAAGCCAAATAAAATAACTGCATGGGCGATCAAATGGTAAAGCTCAAATGAAATAATTACCAGTGAGGCCACATCGAAAAACTTGAGAACCATTATTAATGAGCGCTGGACCCCAACACTAAAATATGAATGGCTAGGTCTGTTTCTGATTAGTGATTTCAACTTATGTCAGTGTAGAAATGATTAGTAGCTTCTAGATTGTGTTAGAATTTTAAACTGAAATATATAAAAAAACGAACCGTTAGAACAGAGAAATGCATTGTAAAAATGTTTTTGAATATAGTCAAAGTTTCCAAAATTAATGTGTCAACAAGATATGGACAGAAAATGAAGAGTCAACCAACTAGACCTGGACAAAGCAAAATGTCAGGACTAATAAACAAGGTTTCTTTCAGCTATATCTGGGGGGGGGGGGGGGCCCCCCCCCCCGGGGAAAGCCAAGGCCCCCCCCCCCGAACAAAAAAATGTCCAACAAAAAAACCACCGGGCTCGTGGCCCCGCCCCCCCCCCGAAAAAAAAGAAAGGCCCCCCCCCCCCCCCCGGGGTGGAAAATGTCTGAAATAATCACTGCTAATAAATGATATGGTCAGAACAATATCTGTAAGACTGGATCTGGACTGGACAACATATGAAACACTGGATCTGGAAAGAACATGTTAAACACTAGATCTGGACTGGTCAACATAACTATGAAACACTGGATCTGGACTGGTCAAGATGTGAGCTGTTAAGATATAGGCCTACAACCGCAATTATAAGATAATGACTGAGTGGAGAATCTTTATTAAATAAATTGTTCTACAAAACTGATAAGATGGTATTCACATCATCTACAAAATTCATAAGATGGTATTCACATCATCTACAAAATTCATAAGATGGTATTCACATCATCTACAAAATTCATAAGATGGTATTCACATTCATCTACAAAATTCATAAGATGGTATTCACATCTAGAAATCCAGCTGTGGTTATTACTGTACGCCATGTTCTCCTGCCCAAATCTTACAGACACTTCCATTGCCCCATGGGAGCACTCACAGAATGACACAGACAATTATCCCTGCCTTGACTGTACACTATTTTATCTGATAATAATTTAATGTACCGCTATCAACCCTACCAATCCGTCAATGTGCACTCTGGTGCACGTTAATGAAGAGTACAAACAAATTGAATACGATTTGAAAGGCTAGGCATATGGAACTATTGGCTTGTGACCACGCCCCCAACTTCTCAACCTTTGTTTGCAGTCCGACAAACAAAAACCGCGCTACCGTAGCCAAGCATACCACAACAATGATGTGTCAGTCCCCAGTGCACCGACTGTACGATGTGTCAGTCCCCAGTGCACCTACTGTACGATGTGTCAGTCCCCAGTGCACCTACTGTACGATGTGGCAGTCCCCAGTGCACCTACTGTACGATGTGGCAGTCCCCAGTGCAACCACTGTACGATGTGTCAGTCCACAGTGCACCTACTGTACGATGTGTCAGTCCCCAGTGCACCTACTGTACGATGTGGCAGTCCACAGTGCAACCACTGTACGATGTGGCAGTCCACAGTGCACCTACTGTACGATGTGTCAGTCCACAGTGCACCTACTGTACGATGTGTCAGGCCCCAGTGCACCTACTGTACGATGTGGCAGTCCCCAGTGCAACCACTGTACGATGTGGCAGTCCACAGTGCATCTACTGTACGATGTGTCAGTCCACAGTGCACCTACTGTACGATGTGTCAGTCCCCAGTGCAACCACTGTACGATGTGGCAGTCCACAGTGCACCTACTGTACGATGTGTCAGTCCACAGTGCACCTACTGTACGATGTGGCAGTCCACAGTGCACCTACTGTACGATGTGGCAGTCCACAGTGCACCTACTGTACGATGTGTCAGTCCACAGTGCACCTACTGTACGATGTGTCAGTCCACAGTGCACCTACTGTACGATTTGTCAGTCCACAGTGTACCTACTTTATGATGTAACAGTCCGCAGTGCACCTACTGTACGATGTGTCTCAGCCCACAGTGCACCTACTTTACGATGTGGCAGTCCGCAGTGCACCTATTGTATGATGTGTCAGTCCGCAGATTAAAATCAGGAAAACGTTACTTGGCATAGATCTAGATCATCTGGGCATTAAATGTTAAAACCTCTTTCTGACAGTCAATATTTTTCTTTTAATTTTAAATGTAATTTAACACGCCCCCAACCACCCTCCCCCCCAAAAAAATAAATAAATAAATAACAACAACAACCCCCCACCAAAAAAACAAAAAAAAAACAAAACAAAACAAAAAATAAAAACAACAAATAAAACAAAACAACAATATTGGTTTGATTTAAACTTCTAAGCTAAAAGTTGATGTCTTTCTCATGCTTTTCATAAGTAAATAAAACCTTTCAACTTTGACCTTTTCCGCGTTGATTACTCAGACTTAAGCATTAACATAGGTCAGGTGGGTATTTGTTTTTGTTGCGAGGGTGTGGCTTTCATTACCGGTGAAGGACTTGTCATTTGGACACGTCCACAGTCCAATCACATGACTAAGTCTTATGGTCAAGAGGTCCATGGGAAGGAACATTTGCGCCCGGGACCAAGTCTCGAAATGGCGCCTCATCGTTTTATAAATAAATGGCATGCAATCACTACACACAGACACATGTGGACATATTAGGTTTATTTTGGCGCCCCCTGATGTTGACCCCCTGCCCCCGAGGCGGGTGTACTCTTCGCCCCTCCCTTAGCACGACCCTGATTTTTTTAAAATATGTATTTTGGCCTAAATCCATTAAATAATAGTGATACTTTATACTTGATATAACATAAGATAAAATGACATAATGACATCTAGGGGCGATGCCAGCACATATTCATGGGATGGCACAAAGACATACGCGAAATGGAGTCAACCATTTGGACAACGATGGGTCCCACAATGTAGTCAACCATTTGGACAACGATGGGTCCCATAATGTAGTCAACCATTTGGACAACGATGGGTCCCACAATGTAGTCAACCATTTGGACAACGATGGGTCCCACAATGGAGTCAACCATTTGGACAACGATGGGTCCCACAATGTAGTCAACCATTTGGACAACGATGGGTCCCACAATGTAGTCAACCATTTGGACAACGATGGGTCCCACAATGTAGTCAACCATTTGGACAACGATGGGTCCCACAATGTAGTCAACCATTTGGACAACGATGGGTCCCACAATGTAGTCAACCATTTGGACAACGATGGGTCCCACAATGTAGTCAACCATTTGGACAACGATGGGTCCCACAATGTAGTCAACCATTTGGACAACGATGGGTCCCACAATGTAGTCAACCATTTGGAAAACGATGGGACCCGCAATGTAGTCAACCATTTGGACAACGATGGGTCCCACAATGTAGTCAACCATTTGGACAACGATGGGACCCGCAATGTAGTCAACCATTTGGACAACGATGGGTCCCACAATGTAGTCAACCATTTGGACAACGATGGGACCCGCAATGTAGTCAACCATTTGGACAACGATGGGTCCCACAATGTAGTCAACCATTTGGACAACGATGGGTCCCATATTTTTGACTAGGGGACTTGAAAAGATGACACGGTTTTTCCAATTGAAAGAAGCCAAAAATGACAGGGTGACTTACACAAATGTCAGGGGTCAGCGCAAGGGTGTCATTTCGGGTTGTTTCAAGTGGCCGGGGGGGGGGCAAACCAAAACTGGGTCGCCTTGTTAAGTTATTTAACTCTGGAGGTGCCACAGTACGAATCAATTTAAATAAAACCTTCAAATTCATTTTGGGGTGGGGGGTGGGGGGAATGGGCAATTAGTCATTAATATGTAAGGTAGAAAATAGAGAGAAAAAAGGAGAGTTCACCCTGTCACACACAGCGTCATCATCACAAATCAAGAGGTCGGCGTTCACAGAATTATTTCATATAACTAAATGAGTTCAACATAATTCATAACTTTAAGTTCAAGTAATAGCATCTAAGCCTGCACTACGTCTCGTGAAGTCATCTTAGCATGTACTGGGTCAAGTGATGTCATCTTAGCATGTACTTGATCTAGTGTTGTCATCTTAGCATGCACTTGTCCTAGTTTAGTCATCTTAGCATGTACTAGGTCAAGTGATGTCATCTAAGCCTGTAATAGGTCTAGTGATGTCATTAGGCATGTACTAGGTCAAGTGATGTCATCTAAGCCTGTACTAGGTAAAGTGATATTTTCTAAGGTTGACTAGGTCTACTGATGTCATTAAGCCTGTAATAGATCATGTGATGTCATCTAAGCCTGTACTAGGTCACGTGATGTCATCTAAGCCTGTAATAGGTCAATTGATATTTTCTAAGGCTGACTAAGTCTACTGATGTCATTAAGCCTGTAATAGGTCATGTACTGTCATCTAAGCCTGTACTAGGTCAAGTGACATCTTCTAAGCATGTACTAGGTCAAGTGATATCTCCTAAGGCTGACTAAGTCTATTGATGTCATTAAGCCTGTAATAGATCATGTGATGTCATCTAAGCCTGTACTAGGTCACGTGATGTCATCTAAGCCTGTACTAGGTCAAGTGATGTCATCTAAGCATGTACTAGGCCAAGTGATATCTCCTAAGGCTGACTAGGTCTATTGATGTCATTAAGCCTGTAATAGGTCAAATGATGTCATCTAAGCCTGTACTAGGTCAAGTGATGTCATCTAAGCCTGTACTAGGCCTAGGTAGAGCCAAATATCGTGCAGTGCACCCAATGGCACTTTGGAAAATCAATAAAACTACTATGCTAGCATAGACATATAAACATAATGTTAGTTACCCTTCAAATGCTGAAGAACTAAAAAAAGCTCTAAAACTGCACCACGGTGAAATGTCTGCACATTGTCACAAATAACACACAATTCTTTCAGATAATAAAATCACTGTCTTAACTCTTTATCAGTCTTATCGACCATATAATCCTTCGATGGGGGATGGCTGTGCTGAGCTAATTCTAGACGACCCCCTCCTGTGCTTTTGGTTACTTACGAAGCTTATCTGTTTGAAATCTTTTCGTCATGCAATATATCACGACTGCTTTTGTTAGAGGATGTTTAAATTGCAACGGGCAGGCTGTGATGACGTCATTACTTATCAGCGAAAGGACGAGGGGGGGAGTGTAAAGGTATCACAGTGATTCCCTTATGTGTAGTGTGCAGTAGATGTGTGCGCCGCTGCAGTGTGCTGTGAGCGTGTGGGCTAGTGTAGAAGGGCGTCGTGACAGAGCGCTGAATCAATAGAGCAGCAAGCTTGTAAAGCTGTTCATTTCTGTTTGATTAACAGTCAGCAGGTTTGATGCAACAAAAATAACAAAAACACAGCCAAAAAAACAACAACAAAAAAACACGTGTCAGGATCATAATTACTGTCTCAAAGTTATTCCGGCCACTTGACACTAGGGATAAAATTTCACAAGCACTGACTCCGGAATTACATGTGTTGAGTATGACCAGAGCCGTATGGATGTTGTGACAAGAATCAGCACACCGGTAATTGGTACAGAACACTGATCCCAGTAATTGGTATAGCACACTGATCCCACTAATTGGTATAGCACACTGACCCCAGTAATTGGTATAGCACACTGATCCCAGTAATTGATATACCGCACTGACCCCAGTAATTGGTATAGCACACTGATCCTATTAATTGGTATAGCACACTGATCCCAGTAGGTAATTGGTATGGCACTGATCCCAGTAATTGGTATAGCACACTGACCCCAGTAATTGGTATAGCACACTGATCCCAGTAATTGGTATAGCACACTGACCCCAGTAATTGGTATGGCACTGATCCCAGTAATTGGTATAGCACACTGACTCCAGTAATTGGTATAGCACACTGATCCCAGTAATTGGTATGGCACTGATCCCAGTAATTGGTATAGCACACTGACCCCAGTAATTGGTATGGCACTGATCCCAGTAATAGGTATAGCACACTGACCCCAGTAATTGGTATGGCACTGATCCCAGTAATAGGTATAGCACACTGACCCCAGTAATTGGTATAAATCACTAACCCCAGTAATTGGTATAGCACACTGAGCCCAGTAATTGATATAACACACTGATCCCAGTAATTGGTATAGCACACTGACCCCAGTAATTGGTAAAGCACACTGACCCCAGTAATTGGTATGGCACACTGACCCCAGTAATTGGTATAGCACACTGATCCCATTAATTGGCATAGCACACTGACCCCAGTAATTGGTATGGCACACTAACCCCAGTAATTGGTTTGGTATGGCACACTGACCCCAGTAATTGGTATAGCACACTGATCCCAGTAATTGGTATAGCACACTTACTCCAGTAATTGGTATAGCACACTGATCCCAGTAATTGGTATGGCACTGATCCCAGTAATTGGTATAGCACACTGACCCCAGTAATTGGTATGGCACTGATCCCAGTAATAGGTATAGCACACTGACTCCAGTAATTGGTATAGCACACTGATCCCAGTAATTGGTATGGCACTGATCCCAGTATTTGGTATAGCACTCTGACCCCAGTAATTGGTATGGCACAATGATCCCAGTAATTGGTATGGCACTGATCCCAGTATTTGGTATAGCTCACTGAACCCAGTAATTGGTATAGCAAACTCAGTACTGAACCCAGTAATTGGTATAGCAAACTCAGTACGGAATCCAGTATTTGGGACAGTACACTGACTCCTATAACTGGTATATCATTCTGAGTACTGACCCAAGTAATTAGTATAGCACACTTGGCTCAAGGATGTGATGAATAGGGCACCAATAGACAAAGGATATGATTGGCTCAAGGATGTGATGACTAGGGCACCACTAGACAAAGGATGTGATGACTAGGGCACCACTAGACAAAGGATGTGATGACTAGGGCACCACTAGACAAAGGATGTGATTAGCTCAAGGATGTGATGACTAGGGCACCACTAGACAAAGGATATGATTAGCTCAAGGATGTGATGACTAGGGCACCACAAGACAAAGGATATGATTAGCTCAAGGATGTGATGAATAGGGCACCACTAGACAAAGGATGTGATTAGCTCAAGGATGTGATGAATAGGGCACCACTAGACAAAGGATATGATTAGCTCAAGGATGTGATGACTAGGGCAGCACTAGACAAAGGATGGGATGACTAGGGCACCACTAGACAAAGGATGTGATGACTAGGGCACCACTAGACAAAGGATGGGATGACTAGGGCACCACTAGACAAAGGATGTGATGACTAGGGCACCACTAGACAAAGGATGGGATGACTAGGGCACCACTAGACAAAGGATGTGATGACTAGGGCACCACTAGACAAAGGATGGGATGACTAGAGCACCACTAGACAAAGGATGGGATGACTAGGGCACCACTAGACAAAGGATGTGATGACTAGGGCACCACTAGACAAAGGATGGGATGTATTGTGAAACCAAAAGTTTTCCTTTATCTTCCAGTGTCTGTTGAGTGAGACATGGGTCACTCATCTTTTAAGGACCACTGCTTCATTTAAGCGTAGTGAAGCCTCTAAAGCAGTGGTTCTCAACTTTGCCAATGCCACGACCCTTTAATAAAGTTCCTCATGTTGTGGTGACCCCCAACCATAACATTATTTACGTTGCTACTTCATAAATATGTGTTTTCCAATGGTCTTAGGCGACCCCCGGGCAAGGGTCGCTCGACCCCCAAAGTGGGCGCGACCCACATGTTGAAAACCGCAGCTTTAGAATGAATGGCGTTACTGGCCCCGTAATTCGCTCTCGTGTCATCGCCGGATGGTGTAGGACGCAAATATGGAGCGATGGTTAAGACTTGATCATGAAAATGACCAATTAAAAATATAATTACGTACTTTAAAAGTACCAAAAACGAAATTCATCTATTCATCTATGACTTTGAGCCATTGGCAATGTGTACTAAATATTTTACCTAATAGTCCACATCCCCCTTGTAATTAGTAATAATCTCCCTACACTTTTCTAACTCTTACAATGTCACGTCACTTACCTATGACCTTAACTCTTACCATGTCACGTCACTACCTATGACCTTAACTCTTACCATGTCACCTCACTACCTATGACCTTAACTCTTACCATGTCACTTCACTTAACTATGACCTTAACTCTTACCATGTCACCACAATACCTATGACCTTAACTCTTACCATGTCACCTCAATACCTATGACCTTAACTCTTACCATGTCACCTCAATACCTATGACCTTAACTCTTACCATGTCACGTCACTATCTATGACCTTAACTCTTACCATGTCACCTCACTTTACCTATGACCTTAACTCTTACCATGTCACCTCACTACCTATGACCTTAACTCTTACCATGTCACTTCGCTTAACTATGACCTTAACTCTTACCATGTCACCTCAATACCTATGACTTTAACTCTTACCATGTCACCTCAATACCTATGACTTTAACTCTTACCATGTCACCTCAATACCTATCTTCTTCCAGATTTCCATTTACCCTCCACCCCACCCCGTCTTACATTCATCCTATAGCAAGAGCAATTACTTTTTCTCTTGACAGTAAATATATAATAAGTGGCTTCAGACTCTCAGTGTGTTTGAAGTGTTGTGTTAGGTCATTTCGTAAGTGAGGACCGGCAATCTCATGAAACCCCTCCCCCGGTGTCACATACTCCATCTACGCCGCTGGATTCCATTATTTTAAAATAGATAACGGTATTTTAAAATTTCAAAATAAAAATTAAATTTCTTAAAGGGGCAGTCGAATATCGATGACTATTTTATTTGTAACCTATCTCCACCAGAAATGCACCGAATCCAAGAACTACCACGAATCAAGAACTACCACGAATCAAGAACTACCACGAATCAAGAACCACCACGAATCAAGAACCACCACGAATCAAGATAGAAACAACTTACAAATACTCGTTAAAATCCACGGACAAGACAACACCAACCATGAACGACAACACTAACCATGAACGACAACACCGGTATTCCACACACACACACAATTAAATAAGACCGAAAAATGGAATTAGAAATGTACCAAGTCTAAAACTTCCGGAAACAAGATCGATGAGAGCCCACGTCTGCCATCCACGAAAAAGGAGCCCGCCCCGGCGACAGTACGACAAAATGAACGCGCCAGTGGCTTATTTTTATTTCACTCAGCTACCCACAAGATGGTAGATGGTCCCAGTGCCGCCCCAGCATCAGATGTGATCCCAGCAAATGAAAATTAAGATTATGCTGATCTAACTGACCTTACGGATAAATATTGCGATCCTAAAAATATATATATGTACATGAGAAAACAAACATAATGCATTAAAATGCCAACACTGACGTCCCGAATTGTACACATTCAATTCAATTAACACGTCTCCCGTGCTATCAGTGGTGCACCTTGACTAAATTCCGCGAGCACCTAGAATTGCAACCCTTAAATATATATATATATATATCAATCAGTATACAGTATAGCGTCAATTTTCCGAACTCGATGATACAAAACATCGATTATCCGAACTGCATAAGAGAGAAGAAATCTATCTACGTTTTTAAAAAAGGTGGGGGGGGGGAGAGTTTTAAGGAAATGAGTTATTTTGGTCATGTATCGAAATGCCACTATTTAAATTTCAATCTATTTTATATTTCCCAAGCGGTAAGTTGTATCCTACAACTTCAAATCTCTAGGCTTGAACAAGCCGGGAAATTTACATTCAAATTTTCGACTGCATCATAGAAACTTCTTATTTTTTTAGCTTTTCCTGGAAGTGTGTGAAGGGGAGATTCGGGGCGTTGGGTGGGTTTGGGTGGGGGTGGGGGTCATTTTATGTGCCTGTAGCAAAATCAATAGGTAAAACACCGTGTAGTAATCATTTAAAACTAATTGGACATATCTTCTTAACGGTGAATTGACCTGGTCCGAATCATCAAATAATTGAGCACTGCTGGGTGGCGTGACTTAAAACAGTTTCAATGTGGAGCTGGTAACATTTATCTTAGTTTTTCTGTGCTCCGATAAACAGCTCATTTGAAGATCCCTAAGAAAGTTTGC